AGGGTCGACTTGAATGCTATTTAAATATAGTATGATATGCCAACAGTAAAATAATTTTACCTGAAGGTGAGTCTTTCAATTCATTGAAAAGACTCAAAATTAACGAAGGGCAAGAAGTAAAAACTTCCATTTATTTTACTCTGAAACACAAATCAATATAATTTTAGGAGTATGATGCCTTATCATTCTAAACTCACCATTGACAAGCCAGTGTTCAAAAGGTAAGCCCCACTGAAGAACACAATGGACAGAACAGTAGTTACAAGGTTGAATGCAAAAGTTATATTTCCCTTCAGAAAGATCCAAACAGACTCAAGCAACTGAAATTAAAAACAGATAACATCTGATTGAATAATTGTTACGGTATCCATACTTCGTAATTTAATGTTTCATACCATGTTTTGTGCACAAATTTTAAACTGTTGAATTGGCAGCTCAATTTTTTTTTTCATGTTTGGAGAACTGGAGTAGGATTATTACTCCACTATTCTAAATTTTTTTTATGTTGAACACTGTTCCTCAGTCTCTTTTCAGAGTCGAGAACAATGCCAAAGAAAAGCGCAACCAAATAATACATTTACTTACATGTAATTATAATAAAAGTCATTCATTTTCAAGTAAACAGAAATCGCTAACACCCAAGAAGATTAGAAATGTCTATACAAATAAAATTGCAAACAAGATCTTTGCAAATGTGAGGTTAGCTTGAAAAACTTTTGGCTAAGTTTTGTCTCTCAGTGACAGTAATGTAATACGATTTAGTGACAGAATTAATTTAAGTGTCTAACTACTAAATATTATTGGTCTGCAAGTCAAGAAATCAAACTAAAGAAAATTGCAAAGTAACTCAACAAGGACTACAACTTAAAAGTTATAGACATTCATTCTAGTTCTTTACTTACAGAGAGAAGAGTGCCCAGATTTTCTCTTATCAAAGCAAAAGAGACCCTGAAATCAAACACATTGAATATGTTCATCACATTTTTCCAAGAGAGAGCAGCAGTCATGTTGCTGCTGTCGGGTTTGACTGTTGTGATTGTTCCATTTGTTGATACTTCCTTTGTTGTTGAAGAATTGCCCTGTAGATAGATGGAGAGATACAGCATTAGAAAGCAGTAACTCTTTAGTAAGTGAATGGAAACCACAGAACTCATAAGT